TCGTTTACGTCAGTACGAGATTCGACCACGACGCCCTGCCATACGTCCCATCCTGACACACCGTCATCGAGTCAACTGTCTAAGATGGTGTCGAAATCATGTTCGCCAACCTCGAATATGGTGGAGAAATGTTGTCTTTACAGATGAATCGAGGTTCAACATTTCCCACAGTGACGGGCGCCAACGTGTCTACCGGCGTTTGGGAGAACGTTATGCACGCAACTGTATTGTGGAGAGGAATCGTTTTGGAGGTGGCTCTGTGATGACACAGAGTGGGCACCGAACCCCTTTGGTGGTTGTTCAGGGCAATCTCACCGGTGTTGGCTACAGAGATCAGATTCTGAGTCCTGCAATGTCATGGCCCAGGATTGACATTTCAACAGGACAACGCTCGTCCTCACACGGCTAGGGTCGCAATGGATTTCCTTCACCATAACAATGTCATGTTACTGCCATGGCCTGCAATTTCTCCAGATCTCTCCCCCAATAGAGCATCTGTGGGATGAAATGGAGCACCGTCTGCGTCGTCTTCCACGTCCTCCAGATAACGTCCGTGACTTGGCACAGGATTTGAGGAGGATATGGCAGGCCACTCCCCAGGCCTTCCATGCCCATCTGCTGCGATTCACGCACAGGGTGGTCATACCCGTTATTGACTTTGTGACTTTGTCGTTTGACCACCTACTCCATTTTGATCTTCTGACGTCATCGTAACAGATGTTGTTCAGGTCCCGTTGACATTTTCTTATGCTCCGATCATTCAGCTACTACAGCGTCTGCATCATTTTGTTCTTGCTGTGTTGTATTTCAATCCAGAATATATTTTCTCCGTGCACAGTTTCTTTATGTGGCTAGTCCTGAACCCAGTCTTAAACGCTATCTTAGATCAGATCTTTGTCTCAATTACTGTTTCCCATCTTCCACTCATGTAAACACTCAGGCTCCATCTAGCAAATCAAGCATACTATTGTTTCCAAGGCAACGATATGTTGTCTTATGGGCAGGAAAACAGATATTTCACTGTGAAGTATTCCAGAAAGCGAAAATTTGAATCACTGTCTCTCTGCCAAAAGAAAATGCTCCTAAAAACATAAAATGTCCTAATTGTGCCAGTGTTCAAACTGTGACAATATTTCCGCTTTGCCAGAAACTTCAAGCGGCATCTTGGTAGATTCGGAGCTTTTAGAGAGTCAAGTTACAATGACATGTTGATGACTACGACTCCGATGATAATGATGACAGTTTAGACCGGCTAAATTTTGACTTGATTTTGAGCTTTATGTTTTTGAGCTGTGACTTGTCTCGACGACTTTCTGAGATTTGTTTGAACTCAGTGTGTATATACACATCATAAGCCGTCATCATGGGTAGCTCTTTCTCCAGACCATCAGTATGATGACACAAGATTTGTTAAACATCCAAATAAATATTTTGTACTATGTTTTCAGACAAGTACTAGGGTGGAAGTTTTGCACAACAATTTTTCTAATTTAGTTTAATTTCGAACCGGTTTTCCTTTTGATGAGTTTGTTTATTATCCTTTTTGAGGTTCATTGTCTTTGGAAACTGTATGGAGTGTTCAAGCAGCTGCATACAAGCAACAGTTAATGTCATGCAAAGAGCATTTAAGAGTGACTGATATAATATCAGTAATGTATCAAGTCGTTTCTGTGGAAATGATCGGTTAAATGGTTTACTTGGTCTTCGCTTCTCGATCGGTAAATCACGTAGTTGATTATGAAATGCCACACACAAAATATACAAGGGGTCATCAGAAAGAATACTGACAGAAGAGGGGTAGGAATCGGGAGAGAACTGAACATTTTCGAGGCCACCGTCAGGAATTTCATTTTGTGAGCCCATGTGTGGGTCATCAGTGACAACTGAATCAGCAGAACAAGCATGAAATACTCATATCCCCCGCCAATAATCTGGTTGTGTACAATGCTCACTGGATCTTTTTGTAAACAGCCTAATTGCAGCACCTAAAAAGTTATTACTGGTGTTGTTTTGCCATCTGCAATTAAGGGTAGAATACGTAACTGTATTTGTAATGAGGATGAGCCATATTGACGAACAACTTCTTTATTACAATTAGGAGCGACGTTCAGTGTAGGTTCTAACACCGTTATCAAGGTGAGATGAGGTGAAATTGGGTTTAACGTCGCGTCTAAGTTTATTGCACTTATATAGTGACGTGCATGCACGTGTGTGTGGGCGTGTGTGTGGCTGCTTGCACTAGTCCGGACTGATGCCCATTTATATTGCTAGCTCACTGAGATACCATACCGCAGTTTAACATGGATACCACACTCGGACACAGTATACTGACTCTGAGCCGACCAGTCATTGTTTTAGCCCCTTAATGCCCTTAATTCCGAGCGCCAGACAGGTAAAAACAAGTACCATCTTTTAACGTCTTTTGGTATGACGCGGCCGGGGATCGAACCAAGGACCTTCCGCTCTCCGGGCGGACGCTCTACCACTAGACCACGGAGGCGGTCCGTTATCAAGCAAGCTAAGTACAGAGTATGGTTGACAAGAATATATACAGGATAGGAGGCAGTATTTACAGTTGACTAGTTTTAAGATGCAGTTCAGTGTTGTGTTTGTAATGAGTTGTGTTATTACCTAAACAATAAGTTGTTATTGAGGGTTCATGCAAAAGCGCCTGACGAGTGTTGGGCAGCTAGCTCACCAGGTTCAGGGCGCATATATAATTTTAGTCGCCAGAGCTGATCAGGTTTTTTTCATTCTGTCAGGTATGCATACATTGGCATAGCTTTGTCCCAATGACACTTAAATAATTTGCCATTTATTCGTCGTATTGCTGGCCACTCAGTTGCTTTCGCACACTTAGGACTTCAGCTGGTGCATCCATGATATTCTTTGATGGGTTCTGTGCCTCCGCCCGATCGGATCCGTATACTGTAAACTGAAACCTTTAGTAAAACATGATATAAGAAAAATGGGTAAGAAAAAAGAGTAATGCTGGAGCCAAGGTAATATATTTTCAGATTTCATTGGAAGGTGCTTAGCCCAGTCGCGGCTTTAGGTCACGGAAGTAAACAACAAATCGCAATGGTCAATGGCGTCGAGTGCCGTGATTGGTCCGCGCTCCAACCGTAACAAATGCACATGGGGATATTTACCAATCAGAGCGCTCGGGGGGCATTGAATGCGAGATTTGTCTTTACTTCCGTGACCCATAGCCGCGACTGAGCAAATATTTCGATAATATCACCCGATATAGGAAATAAATTGCAAAAATAAAGGTTTATGGAATGCAGATCGTATGTAGAGGGAGGTAGCGAAGTATTGAGAACATGACAAGCATACATTTCCATTTAATCTAAACGATACAGCCGATTTCAACTTCGGCCAAGTTATTTGTCTTACATGTATATGTCTATTTATATATATATATGGGTCAAGTGTTTCAGTAATATCACTATCCTGCTTCAGGGGCCTGTGCGCGAGGGTTTAGTTGTCTCTTACAGATTGATGAAAAATCCTGTAACTATTCATAAGTTACATATCCTTCTTATTAGAATATACTATTATGAGGAGATATGGATGAAGAGTCAAATCTTTTTTTCATTGGTTAGATTCTTCTCACATCCTGCTCTTCAACCAAGTGTTACGGATATAGAAAATATCTTTAACGTTTCAGTCAAAATATTCCAAGAGGACAGGAAGCACTTGAGACCTTCAGAAACATTTCTACACAGTCCAATGTTTTGTGCATGGCCATACATGTCAACTATATACACGGACTAGCAAAGGAAAACAGGGAACAAAATAAAAGGAAGAAGGAAAAGCGGGCTATCAAAACCAAGGAATTGTTGAAAAATGCAACTGCACTCCGCAATTCTAATTCTGGTCATCTACTGATTCACTTTGTTGGACGAGAAAAAGAAGACACCTTTACAGGGGCCTTTGATGAATTTGCTGATGACAAACTTCAGACTTTAATTCAAGATGGAAGCCTGTTCACTGATGTCTACACGAAACGGTTCTTGAGTGATTATGCAATAGATCTAGACAAACTGCAGAAGAAGCAACAGGGAGTACTTGATCAGATATCTTGGAAGCTTGAGAAGAAAACCAATGAACAGCAAAGTCAACAGGAACGGCTGGATAAGCTAAAATTGAAGGCTAAGGAGACACTAGATGAGGAGTTGCTTGATGCAATACTGCAGCAGAGACAAATAGTAGTTGAGACATTAAAGGAAATTAAACAGTTGAAGAACATTAAGTTAAAAGAAGAAAAGAAACTGTCCGTGTGTGTTGATAAGGATACTTTAAAGGATACACATCAGTATAAAGATTTCCTTGTACTCTATGTTGAAGGGGGTTTTTATCTCACAACATCTGACTCTAAAACCAAAATAGCTCTTGATGAACGAATCATCAGTCCATCTGATCCAACTTTGATAACATTCTTGAAAAACAGAACTCAGTTTAAATCAGTGCATCCGTCTGGACATACATTGGAGGATTTAACAAAACTGCACGAGAGTAGATCAATTCAATTCAAGGGTTACTTCAAAGGGAAGGAAACAGATGAGAAAATAGTTGGTTTCATGTTTGACGACCACAAACTTCTTGAATACGTTAGTGCATTTACAAAGAACACAGAGGGTGGCACCTACTTTTTTGGCATAGTAGAAAAAGAGCATTTCTTCAATGGAAGTCATTATAAGTCAAAGTTCGTGGAAATTCAGCGAGTTCCTATCAGTAGTCAGCAAAATGTAGCAGCTAAATTAAAGGAGGGAGTTTCAAAAGGTGTGTTAATCTGTGACTATGATGGGCATGAAACAAACGATGAGCTATTGGAGGTATTTTTTATTCCATCTGGAGACAGTGACAAACATGATGCTGACGAGAAGGCACCTGAACATTTTATAATCCAAATATATGTCAAGCCCGTCAGTGGTATGGTGTTCTATGACAAACAAGGACCGCAAGCTTACAGAGTGGAAGGGGACACTGTCACAACTTTCTCTGTCAAAGAATGGTTCCATGCCGTCATTGAGAACAGCGTTGTGAGGTAAACAAATAGATCACAAATAAGTCCAGTAACCGTCTCCATATCCTTTTGTACTTTCAATGACATGGTCTTCTTAAAAGATCAATTTTAGGTACCATAAATAGCGACGCTAACTGTTTGCTAACTTTACGTGTCATTCTTTTTTTTAAATATTTTTGTCAGTTCCATTACAAGACATGAACATATCAAAATATACTGAAATGATTGAACACAGTTCTTTTGCTCTTGCTAAGATGTACATATACACCAGTAAATGTCTCCATATCTTGTACCTTTACTAACATGATCTGCTTGAAAACCAATTTCAGGTAAATCCAATCAAACTCGGTGACATACATATAGTTAATTATATCATACACTTCTGTTCTTCTTTGCACACCACTGCCGACCACATAAAGTGACGGTTTCAGGGGAGAAAAGAATGCTTTCATCAGAAAATGTTTAAACTAAGTATGAAATGTATATATCATATCATTAACAGCTAAATGTGTTAAATGTGCAAATTAATCCTCGTAAAACATTTCATTACATTTCAGACGGGAAATTTACGTATAGAGATACACATACAAAAAAGGTAAAAGAACTTTAGAATAATATCTAAATGAAAATTATGGTTACAGTCAAGTGGTCCAAAATACATGATCATGAATACAACCGTTTGAAAGGGACCCGTGAAGATGTGGGGTAGAATAGGTCTTCAGCAACCAATGCGTGCCGTAAAAGGTGACTATGCTTGTCGTAAAAGGCGACTAATGGGATCGAGTGGTTAGGCTCGCTGACTTGGTTGATGCATGTCATCGATCCCAATTACGTGGATCTATGCTCATCATATCAATCACTGGATTGTATGGTCCAGACTCGATTATTTACAGACCGCCGTCATATATCTGCAATATTGCTGAGTGCGGCGTTAAACAAACACATATTTGGGTAAACTTTTTTCATTCGTTAGTGGCATCTGTGTTTGATATGTCGTCACAATGGTGTTATTGGGGTTTCATGTCTCACGGATTTCAATGTCAATGTTTCAGGAAATAATGCAGAACATACCAAAGCGAGAATTGTGCTTAGACAGCAAGGATTTTCGGCGTCCTCGTTTGAAACCAATCACAAACAGCATTTCTGCAATTAAAAGTAACTTTGTGAAGAAAGGTAAATGTAAAATGTTTACTTATTTAACATGAAATATATTGAAATACCATGACAAATTGCCTCATGACCACATGATGATTATAAACTATTGTCAGTTGTTGTGCTTTCTAACGTCCAAGGACTGATGCTATAATACAAATATTGTGTGTGTGTGTGTGTGTGTGTGTGTGTGTGTGTGTGTGTGTGTGTGTGTGTGTGTGTGTGCTCGTTGTTTAGCGCTGCTATCAGCAATATTCCAGCTATATGACGGCGGTCTTTAAATTATCGAGTCTGGACCAGACAATCTAGTGATTGACATCATGAACATGAACATTGGGATCGATGACATACATCAACCAAGTCAGCGAGCCTGACCATTCGATCCCGTTAGTCGCCTTTTACGACAAGCATGGGTTGCTGAAGACCTATTCTACCCCTGATCTTCACGGGTCAAATAATACAAATAACTCTAACATTACAGGTGCATTAAATGTAGCTCCATCAAGGATACCCGAGCACCTGTTGGATATCAGAGATGCCTTCATTTCACTGCTGAAGACGGACGGAATTCTGTACCATGAAAGCATTGTAAATGGTGAATATACGAGTGACAAAGACACAACAAGCCTTTTGTATTTATCAGAATCATTGGCAACATTACTAGATTTCCCTGTGTCAAGAACGCAAGGAAATACGAGATGTGACATCTTCATAGCAATGCCCCATCAACCCCTCATGGTGCTGACTCTGATTGACCATGGCAGTGAAACTGAGGAGATAAGAAATTATAACACCAGTGTGGCCAGAGAAGTGACTTCAAAACTACGCAGGTTTACCAATGAGAGCATCAACGTCATTCATGGAGTTTTGAGTTTGAGTGACCTGACAGACACTGATACGTGCTTCATAAAGTTACAGAGAATTGCAGCATTAGGTGCATCCTTTGTTCCGAAGACTTCTCTATTGATGACTCCATCAAAATATGAACACGTGATGATGGCCTTCTGGGCAGCTGTTGCTGAGACAAAGTCAGTCCTGACAGAGACAGGTGAAGTAGATGACAGTTGTATCAACTTTCTCACCACAGATCAGTGTGTATATCTTGTGGAGAACATTGACAGTAAATATGTTCAGGCAAGATGGGAGCCCGGCAGTGGAACGACAACTCTGATGCTGGAGGTGGCCAGGAGGCTGAGCAGACTGGGGGAAACTCTCCTGATATGCAACTCACTGGAAGAGAGGGACAGACTCAGGTAGTATGATTTTGTGAACTTAATTATATGACCACCCAGAACAAACTTTGAGTTGCTCCTTTAGACAATAGTGATATGACATTCTTAAATATCAGGCGACCATTATTCCCTTCAATAGTTTGTTTGTTTGTTTGTTGTTTAACGCCACACTCAGTAATATTCAAGCTATATGACGGCAGTCTGTAAATATTCGAGTCTGGACCAAACAATCCAGTGATTGATGCCATGAGCATCGATCCACGCAATTGGGATACGATGACATGCATCAACCAAGTCAGCGAGCCTGACCACCGGATCGCGTTAGTCGCCTCTTACGACAAACATAGTCGCCTTGTACAGCAAGCATGGGTTGCTGAAGACCTATTCTAACCCGTATCTTCACGGGTCCACTTCAGTAATACTAACCATTAATTATCAAAGAACATGTTGGTATTTTTAATCTAATTATCATTGAATGAAACTAAGAACAATACATGTACTGGTAACAATAAAGATCTTAGTTATTTATATTGACAGTGTAAAAGCATATTGTGTTTTGACAGCTGCCACAGTTGTTGTTTTTAATCACACACTTATGTTGCATACGTTATAAACGTCCTATGTACCCATGGTGTATGTGATTGAATGCCATTGAAGGTCACGGTCATTCAGTGTGAAATTGGTATCACTTCTCTTTGTGTAAATGTACGCGATAACTGGAGTATTTGAGATTCGAATTTGACAAAAGTTTATATGCAAAATTTCTACCAGAAAAGACACATTAATACACTGTCTACCATAGTGATAGATCTGCAATATTGCCAATTATCTCAGCTAAAAACTGCCAAATCTTCCATTTAATACAGGTACTCAACATATGATACGACACAATACAGGCACTCAACGTTCGACACGAAACAATACACGTACTCAACATTCGATATGACACATAATAGTCACTCAACATTCGACTCGACACAATACAAGTACTCAGCTTAGTTACGGCACAATACAGGTACTCAGCATTCGATATGGCAAAACTACTCAATGTACTCAAGATAAGAGCCAATACGTCTTCTCAACATTAGATACGACACAATACATATACTCAACATTAGATAAGGCACAATACATGTACTCAACATTAGATACATGTAAGACACAGTACATGTACTCAACACTAGATACCACACAATACATGTACCCAACATTAGATATGAAACAATATATGTACTCAACATTAGATTCATGAGAGACACAATACATGTACTCGACATGAGATAAGACACAATACATATACTCAACATTAGATATGACACAAATTATGTACTCAACATTAGATATGACACAAAACATGTACTCAACATTAGATATGAAACAATATATGTACTCCACCTTAGATTCATGTAAGACACAATACAGGTACCCAACATAAGATAAGACACAATACATGTACTCAACATTAGATAAGACACAATACGTGCACTCAACATTAGATCAGACACAATACATGTACTCAACATTAGATATGAAACAATTCATGTACTCAATATTAGATAAGACGCAATACATGTACTCAACATTAGATTAGACAAAATACATGTACTCAACATTAGATACATGTAAAACACAGTTCATGTACTCAACATTAGATAAGACACAATACAGGTACCCAACATAAGATAAGACACAATGCATGCACTAAACATTAGATAAGACACAATACATGTACTCACCATTAGATACTACACGATACACGAGCTCAACATTAGATACGACACTATACATGTACTCAGCATTCGATAAGACATCATACAGGTACTCAACATTAGATATGACACGATACAGGTAATCAACATTGGAAAAGACACAATACAGGTACTCAACATAAGATTAGACACAGTACATGTAATCAACATTAGATATGACACAATACAGGTACTCAACATTAGATATGACACAAAAGATATACTCAACATTAGATTAGACAAAATATGTGTACTCAACATTAGATAAGACACAATACTTGTACTCTACATTAGATAAGATACAATATATGTACTCAACATTAGATGAGACAAAATACATGTCCTCAACATTAGATACATGTAAAACACAATACATGTACTCAACATTAGATATGACACAATATATGTACTCAACATTAGATATGAAACAATACATGTACTCAACATTAGATAAGACACACTACATGTTCTCAACATTAGGTTCATGTAAGACACAATACATGTACCCAACATGAGATAAGACACAATACATGTACTCAACATTAAATATGAAACAATATATGTACTCAACATTAGATTCATGTAAGACACAGTACATGTACTCAACATGAGATAAGACACAATACATGTACTCAACATTAGATATGACACAAAACATGTACTCAACATTAGATATGAAATCTAACATGTACTCAACATTAGATGAGACACTATACATGTACTCAATATTAGATAAGACGCAATACATGTACTCAACATTAGATTAGACAAAATACATGTACTCAACATTAGATACATGTAAGACACAGTTCATGTACTCAACATTAGATAAGACACAATACAGGTACCCAACATAAGATAAGACACAATGCATGCACTAAACATTAGATAAGACACAATACATGTACTCACCATTAGATACTACACGATACACGAGCTCAACATTAGATACGACACTATACATGTACTCAGCATTCGATAAGACATCATACAGGTACTCAACATTAGATATGACACGATACAGGTACTCAACATTGGAAAAGACACAATACATGTACTCAACATAAGATTAGACACAGTACATGTAATCAACATTAGATATGACACAATACAGGTTCTCAACATTAGATATGACACAATACATATACTCAACATTAGATTAGACAAAATATGTGTACTCAACATTAGATAAGACACAATACTTGTACTCTACATTAGATAAGACACAATATATGTACTCAACATTAGATGAGACAAAATACATGTCCTCAACATTAGATACATGTAAAACACAATACATGTACTCAACATTAGATATGACACAATATATGTACTCAACATTTGATATGAAACAATATATGTACTCAACATTAGATAAGACACACTACATGTACTCAACATTAGGTTCATGTAAGACACAATACATGTACCCAACATGAGATAAGACACAATACATGTACTCAACATTAAATATGAAACAATATATGTACTCAACATTAGATTCATGTAAGACACAGTACATGTACTCAACATGAGATAAGACACAATACATGTACTCAACATTAGATATGACACAAAACATGTACTCAACATTAGATATGAAATCTTACATGTACTCAACATTAGATGAGACACTATACAGGTACCCAACATAAGATAAGACACAATACATGTATTCAACATTAGATAAGACACAATACATGTACTCAACAATAGATATGAAACAATACATGTATTCAACATTAGATTCATGTAAGACACAAAACATGTACTCAACATTAGATATGACACAATACATGCACTCAACATTAGATAAGACACAATACATGTACCCAACATTTGTTAAGACAGAATACATGTACTCACCATTAGATACTACAGAATACATGTACTCAGCATTAGATACTACAGAATACATGTACTCAGCATTAGATAGGACAGAATACCCAATGTACTCAACATAAGACCCAATACACGTACTCGAATTAGATACCACACAATACATGTACTCAACATTAGATAAGACTCAAAACATGTACGCAACATGAGATAAGACAGAATACATGTACTCAACATTAGATAAGACACAATACAGATTCTCGACACTAGATACTACACAATACATGTACTCAACATTAGATAAGACACAAAACATGTACCCAACCTGAGATAAGACACAATACATGTACTCAACATTAGATATCACACAAAACATGTACTCAACATTAGATATCACACAAAACATGTACTCAACATTAGATATGAAACCATACATGTACTCAACATTAGATAAGACACAATACAGGTACCCAACATTAGATATGACACAAAACATGCACTCAACATTAGATATGACACACTACATGTACTCAACAACAGATACATTTAAGACACAGTACATGTACTCAACATTAGATATGACACAAAACATGCACTCAACATTAGGTTTGACACAATACATGTACTCAACATAAGTTAAGGCACAATACATATACTCAACATTTGATAAGAAACAATACATGTACTTAACATTAGATAAAACACAATACATGTAAACAACATTAGGTATGACACAATACATGAACTCAACATAAGTTAAGGCACAATACATATACTCAACATTTGATAAGAAACAATACATGTACTTAACATTAGATAAGACATAATATATGTATTCAACATTAGATATGACACAATACATGTACTCAGCATTCGATAAGACACAATACAGGTACTCAACATTTGATAGGACAGAATACCCAATGTACTTAACATAAGACCCAATACATGTACTCGGCATTAGATACCACACAATACATGTACTCAACATTAGATATGACACAATACATGTACTCAGCATTAGATAAGACACAATACAGGTACTCAACATTAGATACTACAAAATACAGGTACTCAACATTAGATAAGAAACAATACATGTACTTAACATTAGATACGACACAATATATGTACTCAACATTAGATATGACACAATACATGTACTCAGCATTCAATAAGACACAATACAGGTACTCAACATTAGATATGACACAAAACATGTACTCAACATTAGATAAGACACAATACAGGTACTCAACATTAGATATGACACAAAACATGTACTCAACATTAGATAAGACACAATACACATACTCAAAATTAGATATGACACAATACATGTACTCAACATAAGATGTGACACAATACAGGTACTAAACATTAGATACTACACAATAGAGATTCTCAACATTAGATACTACACAATAAATGTATTCAGCATAAGATAGGTCAGAATACTCATTGTACTCAAAATAATACCCAATACAGGTACTCACTTTGATGCCAGCCTTGATGAATTGTAATTCGCCTTTTAAATCAGATGACAAGAAATTAGGTAGGCTGGTGCCGTCGGTGAGACATGTGTCCAAGAATGTGGTGGAGAAAAGGAGCAATGGGATGATGACTTTCTCGCAGTTTCTGGTTTAAATGAAAAAAATATATAATTATTGAGAGATATGTTTCGTTTGCAGGTCAGTTCACTCGTCAACAATCTCGACATTTGATGTGGAAGATTGGAACATGTCCAAGTTAGAGAATGTGGTGCATGAAACTGGGAGTTATCTGTTCGAACCTTGTGGTCGGCAATGGCTGTTCCTGAAAGGTATTGATATACCGTGAAGTTATTGTTTGTATATTATATGTTGTTTTAGGGTGATTGCTGAAACTTTTATTCACATATATATGAGAACGTTGCTGACAATCCATCATATACAAACATACAATGCTTAAAGGTTATCGGTAATCCCTATTTTTTTATATTCAAATACGGCATTTATCAGGTACTAATTATAAATACACCAGACTTGACTTATAACTGAATGTTGACTTTCAGGTTCTCCAAACAGGTCACGTGATACACTTATACAAACCGTGAGTCCAAAATAAAAACATGTCTATCAGTTAGCTATTTGTAGATACATCTTTGGACAAATGTATCACAGGATCACTCACTATACACCTGAAAAAGAAAATGACCTGTTGATCAGAATGTTTGTATCAGTAGCAAAGATATAGATACAGGTAAAGCATATATGCTTGTGGCCACTGTTTTATATTTACTTGTAATGTCAGTTATCACTGACTTTCTGTATGTTTTAGAACTGCTGATTGTTACATGTGACAGTATTTTCAGATTAATACATCAAACGGGAAGGAGGATGGTTTCAATTATTTCAACAGCAAAGACTTTCTGCGCCCGCAGTTACAGCAGACAAGAGAACATATCACTGACATTAAGCGTCACTACATGAGCAAAGGTACACTTGTTGCTTTTCTTTGGGTAAACAAGTAAGGTAAATGCAGTTGATTTGATTAATTAAAATAACAGAAATATACCACTCAACATTTGCTGAGGTTCACCACTGTAAAAGGTAAATTGTGTGCATCTGATGAAGAGTGTGGTCACGAAGTCCTGCTACAATCAGGAGAAACCTATATCCCGCTGTGTGATGGGATGTTGTCGATCTCCTGAATGACTCTGGGAAGCTGATACAAATGTCTGGCATCGATTCCATGCCCTGCTGATCACACTTTGGCTGCAACTGGACGTTGTGGTGACACAGTTACAAGCATGACTATGCGTCAAACAACGTCGTTGACGTTGAGGAGGCATAATTGCATCAGTTGTTGCAATCCTCAGCAGTAAATGTTGTTGTGCTCTCTATTAATGGTGTACAGCGATTATGTCACGATACTTCCAAACGCTGGATTTTCAGCACCTCGTGCAATTATTGGCAATGACATCATGTCCGTTAATCATGATATGGAGGCCCTTTAGATGTTCCCAATCATTGTTTATCGTGATATTTCAACCTGTATTTGTTGGATGATATTTTGATATCTTCAAAATTTAATTCTTAGCAAACTATGAGAAGTAAATTCATATACACGTGTGTAAAAAATAAGTGTTCACATGAATCGTTGGAAAGTTTGTGTTGATGTGCCATGACCAGCCTCAAAATCACATCATGATAACAAAGGCATTAATTATCCATCAAGACTGGGGGAAATCTGACGTATAGCTGTGGGTGATGCCATCCAACACCATCACTAAACAGCCAGCATTTTGTTCGTGCAGTGACAAATACAACTCAGTCCAGACGAAGGAAAATCGATTCATCACTGGAAATAGTTGCGTGCTTCTGACGCAGCTGCCATGGTCATGCTACGTTTAAACATTCGTTATTAGCTTATTCCCTTATGAGACATGGCTCTAAATTGTGTTTATACTTGATGATGATCTAAGTCTATCCCCTAATGTAATGAATCGTACCTCACAGTCTTCAAAGTTTGTTGGGAGTTATCATGATTAGTGGTTTCCAGTGTGCGCTGCTGTCATGTATGGTTTCGTGGTATCATGATGACTTCTTCTGACTGATATTTCTGCGAATTCATTGCGTTTGGGTAACTTCCTAACAGCTTTTATTGCTTCTGACTACTATATTAACTATTTCATACAACTGATCATTTGATTCCTTATGGTTTGCCATAGGTATGTACGGGAATTCAGAAACGAAACCAATAACTTGAAAAAACAGTTATTATCATTGGCAAACAAACACCAACCCATTTCCGTGGAAAGCAGAATATTTTTGTTTTGCTGTTTATACTTACTTCATGATCAAGAAGTTAATTAACCGATCTTGATATCTACAGGCGTCGTCAACATCGCTCTAACCAACCTGCCGGGCCACATAGTGGACGTCAAAGACATGCTGCTTTCACTACTGGAAACTGACGAATCCCTGTATCGTTGCAACATTGTCACTGGGGGAGAACTGGACACCTGTGGTGACACAACGTGTTTTGTGCATTTGACGGAATCCTTATCAATAACACTGGACTTTCCAGTGTCGGAAAGACCAACTCCAATAAGATGTGACATGTTTCTAGCCATTCCCCACCAGCCCCTGGTTGTACTGACAGTGATAACTTGTGACAAGGAAACTGATATGGTACGAAGTTACAACACCTCAGTGGCCAGAGGAGTGACTGCAAAATTACGTCGGTTTACCAATGAAAGCATTAATGTTATACATGGAGTTGTTTGCACGAATGATATGAAAGATCCTGGAGTGTTCTTTGCAAAGTTACAAAATATTGCCTTGAGATCTTCAGCATTCGTTTCCAAATCTTCCTTGTTGATGAACTCATTCAAGTATGACCAAATACTTATGGCATTCTGGGCAGCATTAGCTGAGACAAAGGTAGATCCAAACGAGAGTCAGTTAGGATTTCTTACAAAAGAAAACTGCATCCTTTTGTTGGAAAATATAAACAGTAACAACGTTATGGTGAGGCTTCATTCTAAACGCGAAGCCACCGTCCTGATGCTTGAGGTGGCAAGGAGACTGAGCAGACTGGGCGACACTCTGCTGGTCTGTCGGTCAAGGGAAGAGAGGGACAGATTGAGGTAGGTTCAATAGAACGGCTCGACCTTTATGATGTACCTGGTTCTACAGTTAGTTTTCCCAGTAGCCTGTATCTCATGTTCGATTCCATGTCAAGATGAGTTTTTTCATTTCCAGATCAGTGCACGCATCAACAATATCACTGAATGATGTCTGGAAGTGGGATCTATCAGCGTATGAGAACATTGTTCTTGATGCTCGCATTTTGCCCTGCAGGCCTCGAGGTCGAGTGTGGCGATTTCAAACGGGTATGTGTATTCGTATAATGTATGAGAGATATAGTTGTTTTACCACAAGAGTTTCCAAAATAAGTGAATTGATTACAATTATTTTCTCCAACATCCAAACGATCAATTGGTAAGATATGCAAATACATGTACACACGCACACTTTGTAAGATTAATTCCAAGTTACAATCATTGATAGCTTAATTTCAACAATCCAAACTATCAACTGAATCATTGCATTTTACAACATACCATTGTTGTTATGAAGCAATGTTCCTGACAGTATATATAAACATTGATATGCATTAGACGAGTGTTGTTCTCTTTACATGCATGAGCAGTGAGGTAAGTTAAGGAGACAATAATTGAGCTCAATCAATATGACATAAATCTGACTAATACATTTATTATGGACGTTAATATCTTTGCATATAATGGCCGGCGAATAATTTGTTACATATAAACAATGGTATGCATATACCATAAACGATATAATTTCACTTTTCACTTCATTATTATAATGTATAAATGTAGATTTTGCTATCTGGAAATATAATTAATAAACGTGACACCATTAATTATAGGTTCACATTGTCATATATAACATTTTGAGGTATAAACATAATAAGTTAGTGTTTGCATTCGTTAATTTTTTTCTCGTTAGTTTATGTATTCATAATGTTGAATAAATCCCCATTAAAACATTGACTTCAACGAAGATCCAACCAGTGTTGAAGAATTCAAGATTCGGTTACAGACAGCAGAGAAGGTAAAAATACCATTCAGATATGCTCTAATTTTCTATGTTTTGTCTGTAAGTTTATAATCCCTGACAGAGTCGATAAATTGGCCTTTTGCAAACGTAGGTCTGTGAATCGAGTGCTAAGTATTTCATCTTCACAAAACAGTGTGTGAGTGAGTGAGTGAGTAGGGTTTAACACCCCTTATTTTATTATATCACAGCTTTATGTGGGAGGAAATCCCGAAGTGATACAAGCCCCAGGCGTTTACCACTTTTGTGTAACGCACGAGCACGGTTATGATGCTGATAAACCTAGAGACATAATCAGGGTGAAGCGTTATTCTTACCCACAATCAAAGGTTTCTGGCGTGCCCAAGGGACGCGACTCTGCACAGCAAATTGCGGCGCCATAGACCACTGGACCTCCGGTGCCCTGACATAACAAATATCGATATAATAATCTTGGACAGTTCAAAGTATTGGCCTGAGGTATTAGCATCAAGATGTGTTTTGCACCTGTTGTTATCTTACCTCACACGTGAAAGTCGGATTTTGATTGGCTGAAACCCATTCTATTTTTTTAATGTACTCTGGAAACATGCGAGGCACATTTCGTTTGTTCCCCGTTCGAATTGCCAACCTTTTGGCATTACATTTGCAACATACCAACCGCAATTTTTTATCTCGATTTAATGATTTAAGATATTTACGAAACAGATCTAGGGGGAATAACTTTTACGTTTGATTAACTCAGATAATAAAGAAAGAAGAGGTTAAATCGCTAACTGTGGTATTCTTACTGATTCGGACAAAAACATGCATGCCTAGGACAGTCCTCCATTATAACTTGTTCACTGGTCTCGAGGGTGACATGGGTTGGCGTACATTGTATGTTAGTTAATGTTTCCGTCGCCCTTCGGACTCGGTGCAGACTGCAGACTTGTTCAGTCGGGCTCGGGTAACATAAAGTACCATAGAGATTACATCAAGTCATGTCCCCTCGAAACTGGCGGACAACTTATATTGTCTTACCTTATCTTTCAGGAAGTACACGAGATGAAGAGACAACTCTCTGGTCTGCACGATGGTATGTCTTTTAAAATGCTTCTGACATTGGAAATTTGATTTGGTAAAGTTGTCTTTACATTATATTTAGTGGTGAGTGCACAAAGAAATGACGTGCAATTTAGCTTGTTATATTTCTGTTCAGATAAGTGGAAAGGGCAGATGGAGTACTGGTTGTGGGAAGTGGATGTTCTCAAGTTACTCCGTTTGATACAGGAATTTGATGTCGTAAGTTTTGTGTTTGCACTTGTCTCCTCGGAATGGCTCGTTATCGAATAGTGGTTTCTCGGGCAGACGTCAGGCCAGTATGGTGATGTGATGTTGCAAGTGTAAGTTGTATTTCTGGGTTATTCTCTGACCACGTGTTCTTCCGAACCCTTCCTCGTGTTTTACTGTAGCTCCCCTGCTGCACGAGAACAAGCTATCGATATATCTGATTACGACTATCATTTTGGTAATCTGCTGAACGGAAACAAACAACACCCATTTGAGATGAGCATAATGGATTTGGGACACGTGTAGTTCTTATGATGTAATCACATTTATTTTGATGAATTTCTACACTCAATTTGTTCTAAGCACAAAATTACTATACGAACGCAATTGAGGAAATTGTAATGTGTAGGTATTATTCTTGATACAATATTGACCTACATAGTTGAGCTGATATTAACCAACACTCAAGGCGATGATAAACTGTCTTGGAATATAACTTTATATTATTGGCACAAAGATACAAGTGTATAGTAGTTGAAAAGGTAAAGTTCACTTTTCCCTTTTCCAAAGTGCATCGTGGGCAGTGAAAATCTTGTTAACAATCTGCTGTTTTAGTCAATGTTTAACGAATAAATGTATATTTCAGCAAATAATGGCAACTTTAATTGGAACCTTGACATTTTTATTTTCAGTCCAACATTCTCAGATCGAGCATGATTGCTGAGCCATTGAAGAAGGGATTATCATTAGGTATGAATACCATATTCACATTATTGTATCCAGCGACGTGGTGTCTCATAGTGCTTACAGTGACACGTCCTATGTTTTGTAGTGAGTGATAATGGTAAGGCAGGTTATGTAATGTTTGCTGGGTCCTGTTCAGTTTTATTATGACGGTGTTACAGAGGATGACAATGGTGACCGGTCGACCGATGTTCGTCGAACACAGATAATGCAGCTCAAGGACGGAATTGAAAACCAGAAGGACCTTTTCCAACTTTTAAGATCGGTAAGATGAATACATTAAATATAAGGATATCATTATATCATCATGTTGTTAAAGTTGCAGTTCTGAATTAAAAATTAAAAGAAGCATACTCACCCTTTATATATAATACAGTGGACATCATGATACATGATACAAGAACATCTGTTAATGTCAACCTTATATGTTGTTTCCACAGGCGGTCATTGAGGATAAAACCCAGCTTTTCTATCTCCAAGACCTAGCAATATCATTTGCAAAGGGTATGTAAATCATTGTGTTGGATCCTTCTTTGAATATGACCGTGGCGCAGGGTCACTTTGTTATTGAGACCACGCACTGCTTGGACTTCCCAGGGGTATTATATCATGTGTTTCTTTCATTACCATGGGTCATGTCAGGGTCAATGACGAGGTCACAGCTTGAAGTAAAGTTAACACTGTATGGTGTCAATAAAAGATGATAAATGTCATCCTTGGGGCGGGACCTTCATATACGATCAAGGTCACATTTTAGGTCATTCTTGCTTGTCAGAGCATGGACCCATATTTTCAAAAAGAAATAATCAAGCATGTGATTGGCTGAAAATGAGGTTCAAGGTCATTAAACTGAAAGTGTATATATCTTTAAGGTAGCTGGAGGTATGGGACTTCAAATATGTCTTGTATGTAATGTGCTTCTCGAAATCCGTGAGTGAAGTTATTAAACCAGAAGTGCGTGGAAACATTCTTGTTAATGTAGCCAGATAATTTTATGTTTTCTGAAACATATTTGATGCATGTAGGCAAAGGTAGGGATGGGTCTGTTCATTTGGATGTAATGAGAACACCTTTCTAGGCTAGTGTCACAGTCGGCTACTCAAAAACTTAAAAACCATGCATGTGACATATTCATGTATGGCAACCAATTTTACGATCATCAATTTCCTCAGAAGATCAAAAATGTATTATTATTCTTTGAATGGCACCAGGACACAGGTTATAGTAAGACATAAGCCTCTGTTACTTCTCATATGTGGCAACTGAGTTAATCGTGGGGTCGGTTTATTTTATGTCATCATGCATGTACTTCATTGGCATTGGATATTGTTCATAATATCAACCACTGGTATATATCGCCCAGACTCGATTATCTACTATCGGCTGTGGTATAACTGGCATATTGGTGATTGTGGCATAAAACAACAACGACATAAATGCAGCGAGCGGGTCTTATTTTATTTGTGTCTTTTTAGTCAAATTGTTCAAAAAGGATTTGCCACTCTCCTACGTTTAAGCTACTGAACCTGCCAAGAGGCACCTTCAAGGTATCAACACGCGTGTGAACTAAAATGTATATGTATCAGTCAGTGACTACCTATTAGTATCGTATTGACAGTATTTCATCCGGATTAAGTATAACTTATGTCACATATTCATTTATAGTATGTATGACATTCATCAACATGGACCACAGGAGACGATCGAAATGTTTCTGTAACTATTGTCAGTGTAACACATACAATGACCCTGTCTTGATATATATATATATAAATTGTTTCTAGTCACAACGCCAATGTTTTCATACTTTTCAGCATCCGAACCTGCAAAGCAGTTCATTGAAGAAAAGCCAAAGAGATTCTTTGGCAAGGCTGTGGCAACGGTTAGAAAAAAAGGTATGAAAGGTATCAAACATTTGAAAATGTAGGAGGTATCAATGCATCTATGAGAGTGTCATATTGTAGGATGGACGAAGTGAACAAGAAAATGAAAGTTCGAATTATCACTGAAACCACATTAAATCAAAATGTTGAAGTATATGAGTGGAGTCTATACTATTCTTACAGTTGCATGTCATTTCAGGCAAGAGCTTCTCAAATCAGTAATATTTGACTGTTTGTCCTTGCAGTGAGTGGATTCCGCAAGAAGGTGAAGCATCAAGAACAAAAGACAAAACAGGTATGTTTGATTCAAGGTCAGTTCTGTGGAACTTTACAATGTCACATTGTTCGTATTTGTGTTTTATGTCATCAAATCCAGTAAATGTGTTTGCACATTATTGAATAACGTATAAACTATGGTCCCGGTAGCGCGATCTCGATCGTTGGTAAGCAGTCAAAAATGGAAAAAGTCCGAAAAAGCGACTAGTAACCACAATGTCTCGAATCCCGTATTTTCCCTACATTGTACTTCTCTTCAAAGGGCTCTTTGCATACTCGCGCATCAGTCGTCGTAGTCCATGGCCATGCATAGAACCATAATTACAATTACGTTTTAATGACCACACTGGGTATACCTTGTCAAGATCATGTCTGTATTTCTGTTTCATAAGAAAACATTGTGTCATAAGGGCTACAATGACTTATTCTCCGAACGTGAGATCATCGTGAAATGTTATTCCGATGAGACTATAAAAGAACTCCATCGATATGGTGAAGACAAGAAACAGTTGAAGTTCACCGAACACTTAAGTTGTTTTAACTGTTGGAAGCCCTCGTGGTTATCGTATTCTACATCCAGATGATTGTTATGTGTATTATATGTTATATGTGTTTATGCCTCTACTACAGTTGGACTAAATCTATTACATACACATCTCTCGGCCCCGTGAGCGCCAAGCGGTCGTGGTGCGTAGCTGGTGTTTTAATTTGTGAGAGACGTAACAGGTGTAAAGTTATACTCGAAGACGGGAGCGGGCCACTGAACACACTGTTAAATATTTGTTCACACTAATTCTGTTATGTGTGTGAACATTATTTCATCAAGATTATTCAGGTTGCTGCCTACACGGATCATCCTCTCTGGTAACTATTTCGACATGAGCATAACTTGCAGCCCTTGTAATGGTCAAAAATATTTCCAAGCGATGAAAGTAGGTTGTTGTTTCCGTCACATGTTTTCATTGCCCAGTAGCTATGTGTTTTGGCAGAGTCACACTTGTCAAAAAGCTCCTTGTGCCGAAGTCACTCCGTGACCCAGATTCTTATTCCCTGTTGATTCCTTTGTGGCATGCCAACTATCATTTGCAGAAGCCATCCATAATTTGTGTATGTGTTTCTCATCTCCAACCTCAACTAACAAGAGAGACGAAATAAAATCTAAATCTTACATAATAATTTCACATTTGTTTACAAAATTTAAAACACTTGGTACTGGTCTATAAATTAATTTAAGACCAGTCGCTTTGCTTCGGAAACGAACTTTTAATAAACAGCTGAAGAAAGATAAATTTGACGTGGTTCTTTTATGACGATGCTATCGTGGTAAAAATATTCTTATATCGGTGCACAATTTTCCACAGCGGAAGAATTTTTTTGAAAAAGGTCATATTATTTCAAGTCGAAACGCTGTTAAATCTTTGTTCACACTTATTCTGTCATGTGCGTAAACATTATTTTCAACAAGATTATTCAGGTCACTAGCTACACGCATCCTCCTCATGGGTGGCCCAGTCGTCTAAGGCGCCGCGATTCGCTGTGCAGAGTTGCGTCTCTTGGGCACGCCAGAAACCTATGATTGTGGGTTCGAATCCCAGTTCGCCCCGATTATGTTTCTAGGTTTGTCAGCACCATACCCGTGCTCGTGGGTTTCATCGAAGTTGTAAACGTCTGAGACCTGCGTCACTTAGGGCTTTCCTCCCACATTAAGCTGACACGCCGCGATATAACTGGAATACTGTTAAAAGCGGCGTTAAACCCAACTCACTCACTCACTCCTCTCTTGTAAGTTTTCGTGAATACTATTATAAAAACATGATGTGGTGTCCATATAATTTAAAGCAAGAGCCTGTATTGATGCCCGTGGTCGGGGCAAACGATAATGACAAAATTGAGTGACAAACATGCCACCAGGACTGATGAGGGGGAGGGGGGAGGCTTGAAACGGTCTCAGGTAGGGAGTACATTGACGTTATGCTGGGGGATATTTATTTAATGTAATGCAAATATGTAAATAAACGTTCATGCGAAACATTGTGTGAATAGAGATGTTAGTTTATTGTCCGATATTGCCGATCCTCATCGTGGAAGGCAGGGAAGACAACACAATTGTTCCAATCGGGGATTCCTCCTGGAAACTAGTTCCGGTCCATAATCGTATCGTGTAAACGTCGAAAGGTGAAATTCATACTTAAATTTTAACCATGAACGGGTCATGTGGGCAGTAATTAAAGCAATCACATCACCAGAGTTCTCTTTAACTTTAAAATGATACTTTATATTCAGTTAACCTCTATGGAGCAAGTGTATCAGTGGTTAAGTAAGTCTTAGCTGCTGTAACACGAGGAGCCAGTGGGTACATTCGTAATAGGCGCATATCTTTTGAGAGGTGAAAAAGAGATTTATTTATTCTCAAACCAACATCATCGTTTACAATTTCGCCAATTTAGCAATACATATAGCTGGGGTATGGATAGAAGTTTGTCCAGAAATGCTTCTGGCACATATTTTACATCAAACATTGTTTTTATAAGTAACATAATCAACTTATTCATTGAGACCACAATATTTTAAGTTAAAATATAAGACGAAATTTATTTTCTGCAGCTGACAATTGCTCAATATCTCGTGTGTTTACCATCAGCGTAAAGTATTCCCTAGCAAGTCGAATTTGAAATAAGAGTATGGATCACAAGTGGGGGATCACCGCGATCCAATTCCACTGGGAATGTTGGTGTTACACTTCACAGTTTGTCCCTCGCAGTAATTCATATGGTATAGGTTAAGTTTAACCGTCTGCAGTTGATACTTGTGACAATATAAAAGATATAAACAGCAAACAATTATAGCACGGGAGGATGTACACCATACAAGTGTAAACAAGATAATTTACCTTCATGTACATTTTTTAAGGGTTGACACTATCTTACCGTAGTAGAGTTAAATGCACAGGACGTATTTACATATGTAACTGTTGTCCTTTTTCAGTCCAAGATAGACAACATTGCACATGCATCTCTGTTGGACTCGGCAAAAGATAAAACAATGAAGGACTCGCCATCCGAAACATCACTGACGGAATGGACATCTGAGACATCACTGAAGGATCCGGCTTCTGTTCATTCGCTGAAGGATTTGGAGGAAAGTCAGGAGAGTAAGTAATGACAATATTATAATGGTTATTGAAAGAATGATGTTTAGTCGTAAGAATGTGACAGTTCATGTTTGACAGTGACATCAGAACTTCAGCGTGTTATATTTGCATTCTCCAAAATGCAGTTTGTTTCAGAAATCAAATTTAGGTATTTAAATCTGCTATCTTGCAATGTTTAGGTACAGGGGAAAACACGTCTCCGAGGTTTTAGTTGAAAATGTAAAACTCGAGAGGGGGGAATAGCACAAAGACCGTTTAAACAACATTTATTAATATTTGTTTAAAGTCATTTATAAAAGTGGGTTAGCATAGGCTGAAAAAACACGCTCGTAAAATACACATGGTCAGGAAATACACGCTACACGTGGTACCTTCCAATGTACCACATCTCTTTATCTAGTTCTGTGGTCTAATGGATAGAGTGCCTGGAGGTTGTGGGATAGATTCCATCATTCATTGTCAAACCGTTTTTATTCTGATCTCTCATTATAGAACATTGAACGTTTGAGACACTGAGTCCAAGCTATATCTGCGACTAAACTTACCAGGTCTTGCTGGGAAAAAGGAAAATCTCAAACCCGATGTTACAAGGAACCGCTTCAGAGCGGCAGGAATGGCGTTCAGGAGATTCATCAAACGCCATTATGTGACCATCAGAGGTTTCGTTTGACATGGTGTTTTACACGACGAGCTTAGAATCTGAGAACCTGTCGGAAAAGAGAGCCTCGGGGATGATTAAGGGGTTTATCTCACACGAATGAAAGCTGGACTTGATCACCATACAACGCAACTTCACAAGTAATCAGCACCGACCATGCCAGATGTCCTGGAAGCAGTTGTTGACTCCCATTTCGACAACCACCAGCTCGCCACGAGGCCTCCGATCATGGATAATGACGCCAGACGCCGCCGCTGTTAGAATGTGTTTTTATTATATAATGGATGTTGTTTGAGTATAATAGTGACTATTATATATTTTATCTTCATCAGTGGTAGTGAGGGTTTCGTTGTTGTCCATTTCAAAACAATGTTTTTCCTGCAGGTTTTGATGATATAGAAAAGCTTGCAGAAGACTTGGATATCGTGGAACAGGTAACACATATTTAACATTCTACCATGAATTTGCAAAATTGCTCGATTATGATTGGCCAATAAGAGGCTATTAAATCACAATAAACCCCCTCTGATTGAAACAGCTGGTTTGGGGGATAGATGTGAATAGAATAGTACTTTTTTCAGTTATTATCGGTAGACATTTTTAATAAATAATATCTGCAATTATAGGTGACAAAATGCAAAGTTGCGGTTACTCCAATATTCAAAGTATTTGTGGCAATACATTTTGTCCAGAAAACACGATATAAATCTATAAAAAGAATGTATCTACGTTTTGGAGACACAGAGAGCCTGGAATTTGGCGCTTTTTTATATACGACTGTGACGTCATATCTTTTGCGTCACTATTTGCGATATGACGTCATAATGGTGACACGCAGTATAGAACGAAATACTTGCAAAGCTTGCTTAGTTTTCTTTAGGGATGCTCACCTCATAATAGCTTCGCAATGCCTGTCATATGTTCGAGTGAACTATTACGGTGTAAACAAACTATTTGTGCACATACAACGCCATATTTTGTTTAACATTTGAAACCTCACGCTGTGCGTTCGGTTCCAAATTCAATACAGCGCTGTTAAATCTACAGGTAACCTAGCTCTACATTGAAAACACAGTATGTTTATCTCCTAATTATGGTACAGAAATCATCAGCATCCTGAACGTGGTTACAAAATGACAGTCAAATCAAGGAACGTGTTGCAAAACATTTACAGACTGTTTGTGTCATGGGTGCCGGATCCGGGGTGGTGGTTTCCTTGGCTTGTTCTCACTCCATAAATATTAGCACACATGCAGCTATCTTGTGGCGAGGCGAGGACTATAGTTATGATTAATGTACATTTGAGCAGATGAAACACAAAGGGATTTTTTTGCACAAACGTGAGACAGTTAAACCCTATTTTATGATGATAAAGTATGTTAATCATGGTTACTCAAAAACAAAATGACAATCTGTGGTCGCTGAACAACTCACATGTATTCATCGCTATTTATAACAAAATCACTACAAGATACCCACTATGAGTCGAGTGAGTGAATTAGTATGTTTTTACGCCGCTTTTAGCAATATTCCAGCAATATCACGGCGGGGGACACCAGAAATTGGCTTCACACAATGTACCCATGTCGGGAATCGAACCCGGGTCTTCGGCATGACAAGCGAACGCTTTAACCACTAGGCTACCCGACCGCCCCTCTATGACTCGAGATAAGTTCTGTGGGTAAGGACGAATAATAATGAAAATGTATTTAAATCCTGTCAGCTTGGACATTATTTCTTTTATAAAAAAAGATTAGAATTAAGTATACTATGCTATATAAAATAAAGTGAATGGGTAGAGGCTTTTGGATCAACGCTCTTTAGAGCAATGAATCAATTATATCACACAATGTCAGTTAAATGAGTGAGTGAGTGAGTATGGGTTTAAGCTGCTTGTAGCAAAAGTCCAGCAACATCACAGCGGGGTTAATGATAGAGGAATGGCCAAGTCACCATTAAATTTGTTGTATTGCACCTTAAGCTAATGGTGCAACCTCGTGCCCATCTCCTTGCTCCTCGTGTCCTTCAACGCACGCATACACATGCTCAACTGAATACTAATGTATACACAGACGCACGCACGCACGCACGCACGCACGCACGTGAATCAGGCAAAGCTGAGATATTTGGTTTGTTTCAGGAGAAGGACAAAGTAATGCTGCAGCTGAGTCCTCTATATACAGGTAGGCAGTCTTCTACATACAGGTAGGAAGTGCTATATACAGATATCGAGTCCTCTATCTACAGGTAGGAAGTCCTCTATATACAGGTAGGGAGTCCTCTATATACAGGTAGGGAGTCCTCTACATACAGGTAGGGAGTCCTCTACGTACATGTAGGGATTCCTCTACATACAGGTAGGGAGTCCTCTATATACAGGTAGGGAGTCGTCTATATACAGGTAGGGAGTCCTCTATATACAGGTACGGAGTCGTCTACATACATGTAGGGAGTTCTCTACATATTAGGAAATCCTCTATATACAGGTAGGGAGTCGTCTATATACAGGTAGGGAGTCGTCTATATACAGGTAGGGAGTCTTCTACATACAGGTAGTGAGTCCTCTATATACAGGTAGGAAGTCCTCTATATACAGGTAGGAAGTCCTCTACATACAGGTAGGGAGTCCTCTATATACAGGTAGGGAGTCGTCTATATACAGGTAGGGAGTCCTCTATATACAGGTACGGAGTCGTCTACATACATGTAGGGAGTTCTCTACATATTAGGAAATCCTCTATATACAGGTAGGGAGTCGTCTATATACAGGTAGGGAGTCCTCTATATACAGGTAGGGAGTCTTCTACATACAGGTAGTGAGTCCTCTATATACAGGTAGGAAGTCCTCTATATACAGGTAGGAAGTCCTCTACATACAGGTAGGGAGTCCTCTATATACAGGTAGGGAGTCCTGTATATACAGGTAGGAAGTCCTCTATATACAGGTAGGGAGTCCTCTATATACAGGAAGGGCGTCCTCTATATACAGGTAGGGAGTCCTGTATATACAGGTAGGAAGTCCTCTATATACAGGTAGGGAGTCCTCTATATACAGGTAGGGAGTCCTCTATATACAGGTAGGGCGTCCTCTATATACAGGTAGGGAGTCGTCTATATACAGGTAGGGAGTCCTCTATATACAGGTACGGAGTCGTCTACATACATGTAGGGAGTTCTCTACATACAGGTAGGAAGTCCTCTACATACAGGTAGGAAGTCCTCTATATACAGGTAGGAAGTCCTCTATATACAGGTAGGGAGTCGTCTATATACAGGTAGGGAGTCGTCTATATACAGGTAGGGAGTCTTCTACATACAGGTAGTGAGTCCTCTATATACAGGTAGGAAGTCCTCTATATACAGGTAAGAAGTCCTCTGTATACAGGTAGGAAGTCTTCTACATACAGGTAGGGAGTCCTCTATATACAGGTAGGGAGTCCTGTATATACAGGTAGGAAGTCCTCTTTATACAGGTAGGGAGTCCTCTATATACAGGTAGGGCGTCCTCTATATACAGGTAGTGAGTCCTCTATATACAGGTAGGAAGTCCTCTATATACAGGTAGGAAGTCCTCTGTATACAGGTAGGAAGTCTTCTACATACAGGTAGGGAGTCCTCTACATACAGGTAGGGAGTCCTGTATATACAGGTAGGAAGTCCTCTATATACAGGTAGGGAGTCCTCTATATACAGGTAGGGCGTCCTCTATATACAGGTAGGGAGTCCTGTATATACAGGTAGGAAGTCCTCTATATACAGGTAGGGAGTCCTCTATATACAGGTAGGGAGTCCTCTATATACAGGTAGGGAGTCGTCTATATACAGGTAGGGGGTCCTCTATATACAGGTACGGAGTCGTCTACATACATGTAGGGAGTTCTCTACATACAGGTAGGAAGTCCTCTACATACAGGTAGGAAGTCCTCTATATACAGGTAGGAAGTCCTCTATATCAAGGTAGGGAGTCGTCTATATACAGGTAGGGAGTCGTCTATATACAGGTAGGGAGTCTTCTACATACAGGTAGTGAGTCCTCTATATACAGGTAGGAAGTCCTCTATATACAGGTAAGAAGTCCTCTGTATACAGGTAGGAAGTCTTCTACATACAGGTAGGGAGTCCTCTATATACAGGTAGGGAGTCCTGTATATACAGGTAGGAAGTCCTCTTTATACAGGTAGGGAGTCCTCTATATACAGGTAGGGCGTCCTCTATATACAGGTAGGGAGTCCTGTATATACAGGTAGGAAGTCCTCTATATACAGGTAGGGAGTCCTCTATATACAGGTAGGAAGTCCTCTATATACAGGTAGGGAGTCCTCTATATACAGGTAGGGAGTCATCTATATAAAAGTAGGCGTAGATGCAAGAAACACAAACTTCTGACACTCACACCCACAGGGATTTTTATATACAGGTAGGGAGTCCTCTATATACAGGAAGGGAATACTCTGCATACAGGTAGGAAGTCCTCTATATACAGGTAGGGAGTCCTCTATATACAGGTAGGAAGTCCTCTATATACAGGTAGGGAGTCTTCTACATGCAGGTAGGGAGTCCTCTATATACAGGTAGGGAGTCCTCTATATACAGGTAGGAAGTCCTCTATATACAGGTAGGGAGTCCTCTATATACAGGAAGGGAGTACTCTGCATACAGGTAGGAAGTCCTCTACATACAGGTAGGGAGTCCTCTATATACAGGTAGGGAGTCCTCTATATACAGGTAGGGAGTCATCTATATAAAAGTAAGTGTAGATGCAAGAAACACAAACTTCTGACACTCGCACCCACAGGGATTTGTATTACATGATGTTGAGCGTTAATCACAAGGTTCAGTACAAACGTTGAACAATATCCATTCAGATATAATCGTTGGTGAAGGAGTTGAATTGAAGAGCTGACGTTGAACGGTAAAGACGACTTCAAAATACAACTTCAAACTATGTTTACGTTCTAAGGCGTTATAATGAGGCAATTTCAGTCTCGTTATAAGACGACTATCTTTGTTTACATTGTCTACATTGAATACGTTGGTGGGTGAGGTTCAGAAAACTAAAATAGAAAGAAAATACAATCCTTTCTTTAGGCTGAACCAATTAAATAGTCAAAATTACCAATTTAAAAGAATAACAAACAACTGTCTGACAAAATACTCAAAATTGCTTACAACTGCCAAATGGTTACTGAATTGAAGTTATAAATGCATTGAGCACTTGAGAGATAAAATAATATTAACTTTGGCATTGAAAAATATTTTAGTTTATTTACATTTGTGTTGCTTTACACTTTGGAGAATGTAACCGTGGTCCTAACAAGATGGAGATTTGACTGATTGTGTGGGGAACATGTGCTTTTTAGATCATGTGACTTGAAATGGAATTGAGGCTGTAAACAAGTAATTAATTTATCTGCAAAAGTTTATTGAGAAATGGGGATTTGAACTCACAAAGTCTAGCTTTCAAAGGTCATGTGACATATTATGACCAAACACTTTATCCACTAAGCCAAAGTGAGGAGGTTCAAATGAAGATGACTTTAAGTGGACCAAATATTTAACTAAGAAAAACTTTGTTTTTTAAAAATAAATGAAACTTAAACCATTACCAAAATATAGAAAATGAACTTTAAACAAAACTCTTGAAACAGATGAAAAACACCATTTCTGCATTTACATACTCGGCCTCTTAAACATACATGTTTAACCTAACTACTAAATGCAGAATATAAATAATCAACCATTCCAATCAATTGTCTTTTAGAGTATCTGAATCACATAACTGCAATGTCAATTAAACACTGATTAGTTCACTTTTAACTTGGTACCAGCAAAACAAGTTTGGTCACTGGTCGACGTAGTTCAGAGTTCAGAGTCTTTATCTGAACACTGCGGACAAAGCCATCTTTATCGGCCTCTACACTGATCACACGTCCCATAGACCAGCAGGATCTATGGAGATTGTCATCTTTGACGAGCACAATGTCGTTGATCATCAGATTGCGTTGAGGTGTATTCCACTTCTGGCGTTCTTGTAGAGAGAGCAGATACTCCTTTTTCCATCTTGTCCAGAACACGTTGGCAAGATACTGGATTCTGCGCCATCGCCGACGCATGTACATATCGTCTCGCTGAAACTGTCCAGGAGGAGCTACATATACGTTGGACTTCATCTTCAGCAGGTGATTTGGTGACAATGGAGTGAGGTCTCTGGGATCACTGGAAGGTGTTGTCGGAGGTCTTGAGTTGATTATCTCTTCAACTTCACACATCAAGGTTCTGAATGACTCGTCCTCAATTCTATCTCCAAACTCATACAGCATTGGAGCCAGAACCTTTCTAACTGATCGCACCATCCTTTCCCAGGCCCCTCCCATGTGGCTAGCTGATGGTGGGTTGAAGTGCCAGTCTATGTTGACTTTTAGCAGATGAGATTTCACTAGGTTTTGGTCCATTTCCATTAGAGCTCCCTACAGTTCCCTTGTAGCCCCAATGAAGTTGGTCCCGTTATCAGACCACATCTCCTGCACAGGTCCTCTTCTGGCAACAAAACGACGTAGAGCATTGAGAAAGGAGTCTGTGTCGAGAGAGTTAGCAGTTTCTATGTGGACAGCTATGCTCACAAGGCAAGTGAACAACACTCCATAACGTTTGACCTGCTTCCTGCCCTCCTTGATGATGAAAGGGCCAAAGTAATCAACACCAGTGAATGTGAACGGTGGTCGTGGACTTGTTCTACTTGGTGGTAAGTCGGCCATGTTCTGTTCACATGTTGGGGCAGTTAGTCGACGACATGTCACACACTGATGAAGCACATTTCTGACTGTTGAGTTGGCACTGACCACCCAGAAAGTTTCTCTTAGCACTGACAACACATGATTTCTACCAGCATGACTCAGCTTATGATGGACGTCACGAATGATGAGTGTTGTCACATGGTTCTTTCTTGGTAAGAGTATCTGGTGCTTCGTGGATTCTGGAACTTGAGCCTTAAGCTTGTTGAGTCTGCCTCCAACTCTGAGTACTCCATCAGAATCTATGAATGGATCCAACTTGGAGACAGAACTGCTTCTTGGTACTCGGCCTCGTTTACCAGATGAGTCTTGAAGAGAATTGATTTTACAACTGAAAGTCTTTGACTGAACATACTTAACTACAGCTTTTGAAGCATGCTCTAGGCGTTTTA